CCAACACATCTTTGTAGTAACGAGAGTGTCCATGTTGTTTTCACATTCCGACTTAAAAGCACAACTTGGGAAATGAGAGCATCAGAGGAGCACGTGAATGCAGTAATTACACTTGCTCGGATGGCAGCAGGTAGCCTTCCGTTAACTAAGCTAAACATGCTTAAATTAAAATGCCTAAAGCTACACCTCCCTTGTATTCACATTTCTTAACCTGTTGTCCAACAAAAGAGAACATTATAACTTTTTTACTCCACAACACCAGTCAAATGCTTCCTTTTGTGATCTGATGAGGCTTCTTGTCACAGAATGAGGCAGAAAATAAGTTCCATATGCTACTTTAAAAAGAATACATCGATTAGCAATAGATTATAAATTAGGGTGACCATACGTCCTCTTTTGCCCGGACATGTCCTCTTTTTGAACCTACAAAAATGCGTCCGGCCGGGATATCTTAATTGCCCAAAATGTCTGGGATTCGGCTGATCCCGCTGTCCCGCTGAATCTCTGACCATTGCCGCCTGCTCCCACAACATGTGTTTCGCTCCCGCGATTTCCGTGTCCAAACATTCTAACCTTCTAATATTGTATAATTTTGGCGCATCAGGGAGCCGCTCTCAGGATGCGGAGTATTTAAATCTCTTTTGAATGAGCGTTCGCGCTGAGCTCAGAATCTGTTGAGCAGCAAATACTCCAGCATGGTCTTGTCAATCATCTCTCCTTATTCTCGACCTGTGATCAGTCAAAGCTGGCTCCGGTAGCTCTTGTTGGATGCAGGGTTGCCAAGTCCGTGTTTTTTTCCACAGAATTGGGCTACTTTTAAACTGTTGCCATAGGTTGATTTTCCCAAGTGGGTTTGCAATATTGCATAAATTACATTTGAATGAAATGCTTGTATTGAAACATTTTGCATTCTACCTATGATTAAACTTTCATGGACTTCTACATTAACTGTTCCCTCCTGGTGGAATGACCTGCCCAGCTCAATCCAAGCAGCTGAGTCCTTAATATTTTCAAGAAACGGCTGAAAACACATCTCTTTCATCTTCATTTGACCCTCTAACTCTAGCACTCTCTATTCTAATGCTACTTCTAATTTTATCTGCTTGTTTTTTTTAATTAAAAAACTGGACACTCTAACATTTGCACTCTCTATTCTATTTCTATTCTAATGGCCAATCCATCATTTTTGGGGGATTTTTTTATTTATTTATTTTCTAATAAGTATCGGTTCAGGCACTGTTTAGGCACGAGACCGTTTTAAAAGTATCGATTTGGCACCGGTATTGAAAAAAACCCAAACGATACCCAACCCTAGTTGCCACCCAGGGTCATCTGAATTTATTGGGTCTTTTGGGTGGTTACTAGGTTGCTAAGGTCTGGTTACTAGGTGGTTACTAGGTTTCTGGTTTATTTTTTGTCTCTTTTGGGTTGATGCTAAGGTGTTCTAAGTGTTGCTAGGGTCAAGTGGGTGGTTGCTAGGGTCATCTGGCAATTTCTTGGTTTTTGGGTTGTTCCTCATATGGTAATCTGTGGCATGTCTAAGGGCTTTTTGGTGGTTACTATGGACTTCTGGGTAGTTGCTTAAAGGCCCAAATCTCTTTAGAATTTTTTCCCATTTTATTGTCTGCCAATTAAAAAACTGTACTGCAAAAATGTCACCTGAAAATAACGTCTTAATGTCTTCTTTGCCGTTTAATTGTGTAAGATTAATTGTTTTTTCCCCCTAATTTTGTCTCTTCCTGTTCTTTCCAGTGTCTTCATTGTGATGGCGCATCCGGTGGGTGTGTCTCTGGTTTGATTGACAGCTTGTGCTAAAATGAACGGACTACAGTGAGGAAAAGAATGAGTAGAGACCACTCCCCTCAAACATCATGAAGCTCAACTCATCCTGAATCGCACACACTTCACACAATCACACAATCGAACTTCCTCGCCATGGGCTCTGTGTACCTGTGGAAGTTGTCCTCCCAAAAGTTGGGATTCTTCCTGGTGAGTTTTGGCTTCATTTGGGGGATGATGCTGCTTCATTTCACCATCCAGCAGAGGGCGACACACGAAAGCAGCGCTCAACTACGTATGCAAATATTGGACCTCAGCAAGCGATATATCAAAGCCCTCGCTGAGGAGAACCAGAGCGTGATGGATGGACCCTACGTAGGCACCATGACTGCATACGGTGAGTCCTTGTGTACCAAAATATTTGCTTTTACTGTTTGGGGTTTGGGTTACGGTTAGGGTGGTAGGTTTATGGTTGGATAAGGGTTCAGGGTTCAACATATGTTCAGTTTGACTGGATTTATGGCTCCTGAATTCTTGATTTGTCTTTCATAATGTTGATTCTGCATTGATGCCTGCAATCCCAACATCCCAATATTCGCAAAACGGCAAAAAATCATTAATTCTTGATGTTTCCATGTAAATTTCGACCACATAGTTTCAAAGTTGGCATCTCATCATTTGACTGGATTTATTATTCTTTATTCCTTGCAATTGCTGTCATTTTCCTTTTAAGGTTTATGTTTTAAGACAAAATAAACTTGCAAGTAATATTGAATCTGCATTGATGCCTGCAAATCCAGCATCGCAGCATTCGCAAAATAACAAAAAATCATCCATTCTTGTTGTTTCAATGTAAATTTCGACAGCATAGTTTCATGGTTGACATCTCAATCTATTCGACTGGATTTATGGCTCTGGATTTTGTTGTTTTCCCCCTGAAATTTACGTGTTAAAATAAAATAAAAAACAAAAAAATTAAATGAAATAAAACAACCATGCAAACAATGTTGAATCTGCATTGATTCCTGCAATCATAACGTCGCAATATTGCAATATTCGCAAGATGTCTAAAAATCATGCTTTCTTGGTGTTTTTAAATGTAAATTTTGACCGCAAAGTTTTCGAGTTTACACCTCATCATTTGTCTGCATTTATGACTCTTGATTTTGTTAATTTTTCCCCCTCGAATTTACGTTTTAAGATTTAATAAAACAAACTTGCAAACAATGTTAAATCTGTGTTGATTCCTGCAATCATAACATCACAATATTCACAAAACGACTAAAAATCGTGCTTGCTTAGTGTTTAAATGCCATGTTAATCTTGCGTGCCTATAGAGTTGTATTGCATCCTTCATATCTCCGAAGAGTCTTTAGTTTTATCAGATTTATAAAAGAAAGGTACAGCTTTACAATTTGCTCCAAAAACAGCTGAGCTTCTGGAGACGTGCCGTGGGCGAAGCTGAAGAGTTGCAAGCATGTTCCTGTTGTTTACATTATATGCATTTACGTGCCGATTGCCAACAAAACACAAAGAAAACACACTGCATCCACTGTTCGCGTAACGCTGGGTTCTTTGGGAAGCTGAACAAGGTTATCTTTCCCTCACATCCAAAAACACACTTCTTTGAAGACATTGTTCTCGAGCAAGTCCTGTGCAGCGCTGCCGACGACTTCCATAACCCAAATGAAGCACGTTGATGGGAGATCTTGCTCTCGCTCTGGTTGATGTGTGCGCGCGCTCTTCTGCGAGAAGTGCCCATATAAGGATTTCCGCCCTTCATGACGTCATGAAGGGCCATACTTGGAAAACAACTTTCAGAAACGTATTCAAATCCAGAAGGAGTGCATTTGGCACAGAAATACTCCATCATACGTCCAACTCGTGTTTTTAAACTTTGGCCATATTTAGCATGAGAATCCAACTCTTTAACCGTGTAAATAACTCAGAATGCAATGCCCTTTAAATGTAAATTTTGACCACAAAGTTTTTTTTTTAAGTTTACGTCTCATCATTCGTCTGGATTTATGACTCTTGATTTCGCTTTAGTTTTTTCCCCTTAAATTTGTGTTTTATGATAGTTGAATCTGCATTGATTCCTGTAAATGCAACATTGCAATATTTGCAAAAACTCATCCATTCTTGATGCTTCCATGTAAATTTTGACCACATAATTTCATAGTTGACATCTCATCATTCGATTGGATTTATGGCTCTTGATTCCTTGATATTGTTTTCATTTGCCTTCCATATTGACATTTTAAAGTGCCCCTATTATGGGTAAAGAAAGGTTCATATTTTGGTTTTGGGAGTCCCCAACAACAGGTTAACATGCATGCAAGGTCAAAAACACTTTCATTGTCTTATAATATGCATTTATTTTTACCTTACTTGTTCAACGACTCCCAAATGATTCGCTCAATGATTTATTTTTCCAAACCCCTCCTTTGCGTGACGCTAATCTGCGGTGATTGGTCAGATTGGTCTCATTTTCATTTCATCATGCCTGTAATGCCTGATAAAGCAGTGTTTGTGAGCGCAGTGCTGCTTTTGTGTACAGCGTTATCGGGGAAACCGTTATTTTTACTGCTCCAAAAGCGGCACCTAGTGGCAAAGAATGAATCTGCATTTTCATTCAGACCAACAGGAAAAGACCAACAAGTGGGCGGGCAATATGCTAATGTTTCATGTTGATGTCAACATGAAACGGCTTGGGATTCATTTTAAAAACTACTCGTTTCAATGATTCAGTAGACTTTTGAGAGACAATAACTTTATACACGGTGCACTTTCAGATTTAAAACTTTGCAGGATGTTTTCATTCACTTAGAGCTGT